TTTGAAGCTTTTAAGAAAGATATGTCCCGTGAGTTTGAGATGACAGACGTAGGGCTCATGTCATACTACCTGGGCTTAGAAGTGAAGCAGATGGAGGATGGAATTTTTATCTCTCAAGAAAGCTATACAAAAGAGATATTGAAGAAGTTCAACATACTCGATTGCAACCCCGTGAACACACCAATGAAGAGTGGGACAAAATTGTCCAAGTTTGATGAAGGAGAAAAAGTGGATCCCACATTTTTCAAAAGTCTTGTGGGAAGTTTGAGGTACTTGACTTGTACCAGGCCAGATATACTCTTTGCAGTTGGAGTAGTAAGCCGCTTCATGGAAGCTCGTACCTCCACTCATTTGAAAGTCACTAGAAGAATTCTTCGTTACCTTAAAGGTACGATTGACTTTGGATTATTTTATTCTTCTTCTAATGACTTCAACCTTATGGGATTTTGTGATAGTGATTATGGGGGAGATATTGATGATAGAAAAAGTACAACTGGTTTTGTATTTTTCTTGGATGATTCTGTTATTTCTTGGAGTTCAAAGAAACAATCAATTGTTACTCTCTCGACTTGTGAAGCTGAATATATAGCAGCAACATCATGTACATGTCATGCTATTTGGCTGAGAAGATTGTTGAAGGAGCTCAATTTACCACAAATTGAAGCTACAGAGATTTGTATTGACAACAAATCTGCACAAGCACTCGCGAAGAATCCAGTGTATCATGATCGAAGCAAGCATATTGATACAAGGTATCACTTCATCAGAGAATGCATTGCCGAGAAGGAACACGAGCTCAAGTATGTGAAATCTCATGATCAAGTTGAAGATATTTTTACCTAGCCTCTCAAATTTGAAGATTTTCAGAGATTGAGATCAAGACTTGGAATGAAGAAAAATCAAAATTAAGGGAGAGATTTGTGGGACCAATCTAAATAAAAAGCAATTAAAAAAAAAGGAAAAAATGACATCAAGTTGCAAATGTAACAAGTTGCAATAACAACATAACCAAATAGCAAAACCAATTTGAAGTTGGTTTTGAACGGTGGAACAAGTTATGGCAATTTGCAATATGCAAATTGTAAATACAGCTTTTTGATTGGTTGGAGGAACGGTCTTTCACTACTATAAAAGGAGGCTTCAGCTATTCATTTCAAATACACCAAAAACAAGAGAGAAGCAGAAAGCTGAGAGTAATCCACAGATTGTAGTTTGTGAGATAAATAGTGAGTGTGGGTAATATTGTAGTGAGGTATCTAGAATAAAGAGTGTTATTTCCTTTGAAGTTGTAGTAGTCTCTTGACACTACTAAGTTGTAATATTATAGTGGTAATATTGCTCCACTCGGGTATTGTATTTTACCCCGTTAAAAGATTTGGTATCGTTGTTACTCTCTTGTGTTATTATTATTTGCCGTGGGTATTATTCCTGGACGGGATATTATTTTTTTATCCCAACAGGTACAAGAGGCGTCACGCTAGGGTGGGCATATATCGGGTAAAACCGATAACCCGAACCGTTAATTACTTATTGGGTTATCGGTATTGGGTTATTGGGTTAACGGTTCGGTAACGGGTAAATTTTTTTTTATTATTGGGTTATCGGTTCGGGCTCGGTTTAGCAATTCTATTATTGGGTAAACCGATAACCCAATAAGGGTTTACTAATTTACTAGTTTACCCTTGAGTATATACATACTAGGGTTTCATATACATGGTTCAATTTCTCTTTCTCAAATCTCAGTTCTTTCTCCGCCCGCCTCACTCCCTGTCACCCTCACCCTCAGTCCTCAGTCCTCAAACCTCACCAGTTCTCCGCCAGTCCACCACCGGCCACACGGCTCAAGCCCTCACCAATTCTCCGCCTCACGGCTCACGCCCCCACGGCTGAGCCCGTCAAGACTCGGTTTTCCATTATCTTTTTCCGGCAGAGCATTGCACTAAGGTCAGTGTTTCATATACCATTTCTGAATTCGTCTTAGTTTGGTATCTTAGAAATACTGATTTAGGCTTCCCTTAGAAATCAATTTTTGCATATCAAGGCAAGATCCTTATGTTTGTGAATATGGTAGTACCAAATTTCGTACTCGTACTTGCACAGGTTAGTATTTTTTTAATTATACCTTGTAATTGTTTGTTCTTTTGTATTGTAATTTGTCAAAGTTTACTCCTTTTGTTATTGATTGTTCTGGAATTAATTTGTAGATGGTGGCAAAAACCCTACATTTCAAGAGAAATTCGTGTTTACGCTCATTGAAGGGTTGACAGAGATTAATGTTGTGGTTTGGAATAGCAATACCATTTCCTATGACGATTTTATAGGGAGCGGAAAGTAATTTTCTCAACTTGTTTAATGTTTGTTTTACAAAGAGTAGAGTACTAATATTTGTTGAATTTGCTAATTATAGGATTCAACTACACAAAGTTCTCTCACAAGGATATGATGATACTGCTTGGCCAATCCAGACCAATACCGGCAGGTAAATTTATCAGCTCTAATTTTTTCTATTTGCTCTAGTGACAATGTGTGTTTCTCACTACTAGAATTCCGGAAAAAAACTACCAGCAAAAGCGACCAACGTTGGTCGCTTATTGGCCAAAAAGCGACCAACCACGCCTGGTCGATATTAAGCTGGTCCCTTTACCTTAGGGACCAAAGTTGGTCGCTAAATAGCGACCAACGTTGGTCTCCCAGGTAAAAGGACCAAATTTTCCGGGTAAAGCATATAGCGACCAACTTTGGTCGCTCAAATATTTTAATATTATATATTTGGTGACCAAAGTTGGTCTCCAGATATAAATAACGTTTTATTTTTATTTATTTTTAATCATATTAAGCGACCAACTTTGGTCGCTATATTAATAAATGTTATAATTTTTTATTTATTGGGCGACCAATATTGGTCGCTAATGGAAAGAATTAATTATTTTTTTAACTATAAGCGACCAACCTTGGTCGCAAAATTACTAGAAAATTATTTTTTTTAAGTGAATAGCGACCAACTGGACACCAAAGTTGGTCCCTTTTTGGTATATTTTTAGCAGAAACTGCCTGTTTTGGCTGCTACACCACCTGCCAGCTTATACCAAATATCCTAAACAGGCATTTTATGCCAGCAACAACAACAACAACAACACTAAAACGCAACAAAATATAAAGATCAATAGAACTAAAACATTAAGCTAACAAAACTAAGTTAACGTTTATTACAAGCTCATTCGAAANAGATTAGGTTCGGGGGGGGGGGAGGGAGGGGTGTATGTGTCTTTTCGTTTTTTTTTGTGACTGTACACACGCGCACACACATAAACATATATGAATGTTTATCAGAATCCTATGTTCTGGTTGAATGAATCTCTCCTTGTGAATACAGTCCGCGTAGGTGTAGCTACCTGTCGCTTTCAAGTCTAAACATTCAAAGGTGAACAGGTAATGATTTTAGTCAGCAAGAGTTGGTGGTTTCCAAAGTCCTATGGATGGACACTCAAATGGTGCTACTTCTGTATTTTAACCAGCTATTGCTGTCAGTTGTGATTATTTCTCCTGTGAAGTATTCTAGTGGGAGAAAGGGAAGATAATTGAGTAGATTGTTGAATTATGTTTAGTTCCATAATGTAGTCATGAACTTTTGAGACAAATTACTCTTCAAGAGATGTAAAGGCTAGAGAAGATACTCCAGAACCAGTGTGCTGCAAGGATCTGAAGCAGCCAACTGAGTGTCTTCTACTTTTAGAACTAAAAATTTCGCTTAAATAATGAATACTACATAAATGGTGTTTGACAATCCTTTGTAGAAAGCTTTAGGGTAACTGTATGCAGATGCTATTCTTGGTCTTTTAATTACCTAGTTAGGTGATTTATACAAATGTGTTGTGCTCCTTGATTTCTCTATCTTTTTATTTCTGTTGCAAGAAAGAGGAAAGGCTTGTTGTCAAAACTATCACCTTTATTTAATTTTGTTACTTTGCTCGAGTCATATAGCTTCCGAAGAATACCTTATCCCAAAAAAAAAAAAAAAAAGAAATTCTGAGGACTAAAACTTGCCTCTCCTAAGGCATTAAGATCAAACCAGCAGCTGAGAACGATATTCTTGTTTCTGTTTCATGTTCTTCTTATATATGCGTGCTGTTTTGTCTGCAGAAACAGCGCAAGATACTAACGGAGAAGATTGTCCAGCTGAATGACGCTATTGATGACATTTCCAACCAGTTGAGGTCAGGAGACACACAAAATGGAGTTGCTGTGAACCTAGATGAAGTTGAAACAATTATATAAGAACACTTCTATTTGTTTCATGTAGAGATCAACTTTCGGAAGACATTGAGCATATTCTAAGAGCACTCCTGGTTGCAGTTTTAGTATATCATTAGTGTTGCTATGAATGTGCAAACTGAGGAATAAAATGTGATTCTCTGCTATGTTTTTGTTCTGTACCAGAAGCTTCAAACTCTAATGTACATGTTTGTAATCCGTTTAATCTCACTGTCTTGGTTTGGTCGTGCAAGTTCCATAGTGAAATGAATTGTGAGTTGAATGTTCTTTTTGTCAAGTTCTAAAAAGAAAAAATGGTGATTCTTTGGATTATAGAGGACCACTGGTTCTTTTCGGATAGCGCCATTTCGTTTTTAGGCCAGTACTTCTACACGAAATTATCATTTCTGCAAGACCATCTCTAAATTGTCCCATCATCTAATGAATGGGCACTGGTATTTTTCTAGTAGTAGTTCTCCAGTTAGCCAGAATAATGCCAAGGTAAATATTTATAAAAAAAAGGATATATTCCTTTCGTATCATTTTATGTGAAAGTGTTTGATTGGGGACGAAATTTAAATATGAAAGAAAGACTTTCAAAATTTGTGGTTCTAACTATGTCACGACTTTCTCTGGCTATAAAATCATGCCACTAAGGGTAGAATGTGAGTAACTGTTTCTAAATATATAAAAATGCCGTTCTTATTGGACTTGTCTCCTGTAGTAACATGCCATATGTTGCTATCACTTTTCCTCTTTGTCATGCATTTTCTCACTGTAAATGCTGGGAAAGATGTGCTCCCACAATTATGGTAAAGAGATAAAATGGATTTTCCAGCAATCTGTGGTTGAGATTGTGATGAAGGTGGAAGATACATATATACATGAGGACATCATCTTATCTCTTATCAATATTGATATATGCACCACTCATTCCTTGAACCTCAATTGCAACCATGACTTGATTTTGAATATTAAAAGGATATATGGTGAAGAAAAAACCTTAACTTAAAAGTGTATATATAGCAAAGGATTTAAGTAGTTTTTGTCAATACCATTTAGTTTCAGCCATGGCTTCTCATGCAGCTTTGGCTCCTTCAAGAATTCCCACAAGCACAAGGCTTCCCTCCAAGAACTCACACTCTTTCCCTACTCAATGCTTCTCCAAGGTCTTACTTAAAATAGAATCTTTCTCCTTTCAATGAATGTGCATGGAAATTTCTTTGTAATTATAGGCTTTCTGAATTAACTTGTTTTTGTAGAAATTTGAAGTAGCCGAGTTCTCTGGTCTTCGATCAAGTGGATGTGTGACATTTTCGAACAGGGAGTCGTCCTTCTTTGATGTTGTGTCTGCTCAACTCACTCCCAAGGTAATTATATACTGTCCTCAGTTCTGTTTAGACAGCCAAGCAAAACATTAAGACGTCACAGGCTGTTGATATATTCTTTACCCACAGAAATGTCATTGCATGTTTAAGACAGCAAGTTCCAGAAGTCTTTCTTTCTCCTTAAACTGCATGCGCAAACATCTAATTTTATCCCAAATTAGACCACAGGATCAGCTCCTGTGAAGGGAGAAACTGTTGCAAAATTGAAAGTTGCTATCAATGGTTTTGGACGGATTGGCAGGAATTTCCTCCGTTGTTGGCATGGCCGCAAAGATTCACCACTGGATGTCATCGTCGTCAATGACAGTGGTGGTGTCAAGAATGTGAGTACTATTCCAAAGTGTATTCTTTTCCTTCAATAAATAAACTGATCAATAGCAGTTTCCTGGCTTTACTATCCATTATTGAAAGGTACTGCAATATTATATAAATGCAGGCATCTCACTTGCTCAAGTACGATTCCATGCTCGGAACATTCAAGGCTGATGTGAAAATAGTGGATAATGAAACCATTAGCGTTGATGGAAAGCACATCAAGGTTGTCTCTAGCAGGGACCCTCTTAAGCTTCCTTGGGCTGAACTCGGTATTGACATTGTTATTGAGGTAAACTACTTGCTCTCATTTCCGATTGTTGAAGAAATAACTAAGTAAATAAAAGTGCGTTCTCTCTAATAGCTTAATCTTGTAGATGAGGTGGTCGTACGTTTCAACATTGATAAACTGAGTACCCCCGACAAATTTTAGTCTCTTTCAGGATTGTACTGCTCACATCCACGAAAACCATGAAATTTTGTCCCCAAAAGCTCTTTAGACAGGTTATCTGCCTTTATGATAATCCCAGTCACTTCATGTTTTGATCTTTTAACCCAAAATGGGGAAGCAAAAAAGTCATGTCATTTAATATATTGATATTCAATTATACGTATTTCCTGCTGATTTTAAAGTCATTAGAAACGTCCAATATAATAGCTCTAGATATCATAGTAATCACATAATTGACATGTAGAGTACCATAATTCATCCCCGTCGTAACATTTGAGTATTGCATATCTATGTTGCTCGGTTCCTTCAAAAAAGTTGCCGGGTATTTTTCGGATCCTCCAAAAGTTATTCATTTTGGAGGTTCCAACACAGGTACAATGGCATTTTAGAGGATCCGAGCAACATATCTGGATATCCTCCCCTGAGCTTATGTCTTCCACCTGTCTCCTTCAATGCCATCATTAACTTATTTGCTTAACTAGATTAAATCAATTAGGATTAAATTGATGATATTGAGCCCTGATCATTAACAGCCCAGCATTCACAAGATCCCGAATCCTGAGAAAAGGTGCTACTTAAGCTATATATGTAATTATGTTGTTTGAAACTCCAGGGAACCGGTGTGTTCGTTGATGGTCCGGGTGCTGGGAAGCACATCCAAGCTGGTGCCAAGAAAGTTATTATCACTGCTCCAGCAAAAGGTGCTGATATTCCGACCTACGTTGTTGGAGTGAATGAACAAGACTACTCTCACGAGGTTGCCAATATCGTAAGGTCAGTGCTTCACTGAATGAATTATGTACTTATTGTTCAAGAAGGTGGTCATCAAATGTTCCAAATCTGAAAATTTCAGTACTTCACAAATGCAGCAATGCCTCTTGCACCACTAACTGCTTGGCTCCTTTTGTCAAAGTCATGGATGAAGAATTCGGTAAGCTGCAGCATGTTTTTGACGTATATTTCACCCTTATCACAACCACATTAATACAGTTGAAATCATTTTTTAGATTTCTATGGTTTTGAATTATGTTTGATTATTTCCGTTGATTTTGAAGGTATTGTTAAGGGTACAATGACAACAACTCACTCTTACACCGGAGATCAGGTAATCATACATGATATTGAATAGAAATCTGTGAAACGTGCACCTTCCGGTGGTGCTCTCTTCTCAAACGACAAATTAGTCTTAAATAGGTTCAATTGTATATGTTGCATGCAGAGGCTTCTGGATGCTTCACACCGTGACTTGAGGAGAGCGAGAGCTGCAGCATTGAACATAGTCCCAACCAGCACTGGTGCAGCCAAGGCTGTGTCTCTAGTGCTACCCCAGCTCAAGGGCAAGCTCAATGGCATTGCTCTCCGAGTTCCAACACCTAATGTTTCAGTTGTTGACCTTGTTGTCAACGTTGAGAAGAAAGGAATTTCAGCTGAAGATGTCAATGCAGCTTTCAGAAAGGCAGCTAACGGTCCATTGAATGGCATATTGGCTGTTTGTGATGTTCCACTCGTGTCAGTTGATTTCCGATGCAGTGATGTTTCCTCCACCATCGACTCCTCTTTGACCATGGTTATGGGAGATGACATGGTCAAGGTTGTCGCTTGGTATGATAACGAGTGGGGATACAGGTAAACTTAGCACAAACTTTTCCATGCTTATACACCAGACTGAAAAATCTTTTGCATTAGCAACTAACGTTAAACACACACACATACACGCACACATATATATCCTTGATTAACCGGTGATCGTACTTGGTAAAATTGCAGCCAACGTGTGGTTGACTTGGCTCATCTGGTAGCAAGCAAATGGCCTGGTTCATCTGCGGAAGGAAGTGGAGACGCCTTGGAGGACTACTGCAAGACTAACCCTGCTGACAAGGAGTGCAAAGTCTACGAATAATCTGTCTACTTTCTATACCTTTTGTTCGAAATGGATGGATGATTTTTGAAGCCAATTGTTTTTGTTGTCCAAATACTTATTCTGAGGGAAAGACCATTAATATATGACAGTCAAATTACACAGTTGGAAATCATGTGTACAGGCAGTAGAGACTAGTTTCACTACTCACCAGGATGCATTTCAGAAATAATGCACTTCATAATATATGTTTTTATTCACTTTCAAGAAATTATGGCATGAAGTCTTGTCAATAAAGTCCCCGGAAACTAACTGAAACAACTCTGTCTTGCATTAAATCAACAAGTGTCTTTCATGTATTTTCTTGACTAATAATCAAAATAATAAAAGACAATATATCTTAGACCCAATGCACAGTTGTCCAGAAACTATTAAGTTCCATAACGGAGGACTACTTTGCAACTTGCCACTATCCCACAAAGATTGACACAGTAATAAGTCAAGGGATGACAGCTTATTCAACACACAGAGTTCAACTTCTTGCTTTTGGAAACATGCTAAGAATTGCGATTGCGCAATTTTGTTTCTTAGCCCGTGTGTCTGCTCAACTTTGGTACAAGGTTGAATTGTGTCGTCACATCATCTAAAAGCTTAAACGGTTAGAGAACACACTTTTATTTGTGGGGTCCTTATTAAAATAAAAATAAAAAAACTAAATAAGACTATTGGGAAATTAGAAATGGTGGGCGCCTACAACTTGCAAATCGATGGACTTGCATGCAGATTTGCAAGTTGCAATCTGCTAGTTGCAAAACCAAACCATTTGGTTTGAATTGCTGCAAGAGCTCGTATATAAATAGCACCCTTCGGCTTCTCATTTAGTACACAAAAAACGAGAGAGAAGCAGAAAGCTGAGAGTAATCCACAGATTGTAGTCTGTGAGATAAATAATGAGTGTGAGTAATATTGTAGTGAGGTATCTAAAATAAAGAGTGTTATTTCTTTTGAAGTTGTAGTAGTCTCTTGACACTACTAAGTTGTAATATTATAGTGGTAATATTGCTCCACTCGGGTATTGTATTTTACCCCGTTAAAAGATTTGGTGTCGTTGTTACTCCCTTGTGTTATTGTTATTTATCGTGGATATTATTCCTGAGCGGGATATTATTTGTATTCCCAACAACGTGGTATCAGAGCCATGGAGAATAATAGTCCGCTGTCTTTTCAGTATCCCGTCTCACAAAAGATAATTATGAGACATGGTGTCTACGTATGAAAGCAAT